CCCCCCCCCCCCCCCCCCCCGGCTTTTCCCGCCATTTTCCCCTGAGGGCCCACAGGCACCGGGAGAAGCAACGAGATGAGGGAAAAAGTTGGAAAATGAGGCGGAAAAACACCAGGATGAGGTAGAAAAACACCCGGGATGGGGGGGGAAAATATCGGGATGAAGGGAACAACACCGGGATGAGGGGAAAAGTTGTTAAATGAGGGGGGAAAACAACAAAATGAGGTGGGAAAATACCGGGATGAAGGGAAATACCGGGATGAGGGGAGAAACACCAAAATGAGGAAGACACCAAAATGAGGAGGAAAAACACCAAAATGAGGAAGAAAAAGCCAAAATGAGGAGGAAAAACACCAAAATGAGGAGGAAAAACACCAAAATGACGGGGGAAGAAGTGAAATAAGGTGGAAAAACACCAGGATGGGAGGTGGGAAAGCACCAAAATGAGGGGGAAAACCACCAGGATGAGAGGAAAAACACCAATATGAGGTAAAAGCCCACCAAAATGATGTAGAAAAGCTTCGGGATGAGGCAAAAAAATATGAAAATAAAGTGGAAAAATACCAGGATGAGGGGAAAACCACTGGGATAAGGGGAAAAATACCAAAATTATGTACAAATCGGAAGGGATTAGGCCCAAACCACCAAAAAGAGGTGGAAAAACACCAGGATGAGGTGGAAAAACACTGGGGTGAGGGGGAAAATACCAAAATAAGGTGGAAAAACCATGGAATAAGGTTCAAAATACCAAAATGAGGTGGAAAAACAGCAGGATGAGGAGGAAGATATTGGGGTAAGGCAAAAAAACCCTCCAAAATGAGGTGCAAAACAACCAAAATGAGGGGATAAAACACCGGAATGAGGGGAAAAATAATGGGATGAGGTGGAAACCCACCAGGATTAGGTGGAAAAACACCAAAATGAGGTGGAAATGAAGGAAATAATGGAGGATTTATGGACTGGGATAAGGATTGGGACAGATCCCTCCGTAAATCCATCCGGGCACAACAGACTCAGGATTTGGGATACAATGAGTTTATTTCCAACGGAATCAGAGCAGGATAACAAGACCCCAAATCTAACTTTTCCCTCCCCCAATTCCCTCCTTCCTGGCTTTCCCTCAATCCCTCCAGCAGCGCTGGGAGCCGGGGCCGTCCCAGGGGAGTTTTCCATGGATTTTTCTGACATGAATCCATCCCACAGCAAGATTTCCATGGATTTCTCCACCGTGGTAAAGAGTTTTCCATTATTTTGCCAATGCGAATCCATCCCACGGCAAGAGTTTACTGTGGATTTCTCCAACGCGTCATTCCCGTGGAAGACAATTCCTCGTGGACTTTTCCAAGGGGTCAATCCTTTGGGAATATCCTGCTCCAAAGGTTTTTTTCTCCGTGGGACTCCTCCAAGGAATCTGCTCCTTTTTCCATGGATCCACAGCTCCCTGCCAGGATCCAGCTCTAGGATGAACTTCCCGTTGGATGCACCACGGAATTTTGGGAATTTTCACTCCAGCACCTTGGAGTCATCTCCGGAATTGTTCAGCTCCAAAATTCCTGCTTCAGAAATCCATCTGTGCCATGATTGGCTTCTTCTGACCTAATTCTTATTCCAGAGGCGTCGCCGCCATTCCGGATGGCATCGGCTAGACACGGGAGAAGCTTCCGGCAGCTTCCCATGGAATCCAGCCCCGGAGCCTCCTGGAATTTGGCCATGCAAAGCCAATCCTGACAGAAAAACACCAGGATGGGCTGGAAAAATAATGAAATGGGGTGGAAAAATACCGGGATGAGGCAGAAAAAATACAGGGACGGCCTAGAAAACCACCAGGATGGGCTGGAAAAAAAATGGAATGGGAGGAAGAATACCAGGATGAGGGGGAAAATATCAGGAAAACTATTGGGATGGGGTGGAAAAAACTCAAACATGGCAGAAAAGCAAAGAAACTGGGGAAAAAATCTCGGGATGGGGTGGAAAAACAGCGGGATGAGCTGGAAAAATACTGAAATCAGGCGGAAAAGCACCGAAATAACGGGAAAAAACACTGGAATGAGGCAGAAAAGCACCAGGATGAGGCAGAAAATGCCTGGATTTTGGGAAGGAGGAGGCAGCACTTTTCCGTGATGGAGGCTCCGAGCTTTTCCCCGAGTCACAAGGAGAAGTAGTCCAGGGCTCCGTGGCCGTAGGGATTGTAAGTCCAGACGAGGTCGGTTCTCCCGGAATTCGCCAACAGCTGGGAAATCTCCGCGGTGGCCGCCGCCAACCGTTCCCCATCCATGGGTTCCTCGTAAATCCGTCGGGATCCCGGGACTCGGCGTGGAGGCTCTGGCTTGTAGCAATCGACGGGGAAGGGATACACGACCAGGTGGAGATCGGGCAGCTCCAAGGTTTTCTGGAGCAGATCCTTGAGCGCGGCCGTGGACAGGGAATTGCCGTAGAGTCCCAGGAAGCGCAGGCGGGAGCAGCGCCGGAGCGTCGGGAGCAGCGCGTCCAGGTGGGAGTCGGCCATGCGGCATTCCATGAGATCCAGGTGCAGCAGCGAGGCCGAGGTTTCCTCCAGGAGCAGCCGGAGCGGCTCCAGGAGGCCTTGGGAGAAGTCGTGGCCGCTCAGATCCAACCTTTTGAGGGCGGGAGCGTGGAAGCTTTGAGAGAGGAAGGCGAGGTCGGCGGGAACGAGGGAGCAGAAGGCCAATTCCAAGCTTTCCAACGGAGCCTGGAGGTCGCTGGCGGGAGGGAAAAGGGAGAGGTGAGGCCCGAGGGAGGATTTGTGGCAGCTGGGAATGTTGGGATTCACGGGGGAAAGGCGGGGAATGAGAGCTGGGATTGCATCCGTGGGATCGGGGGATGGCTGAGGTTGGGAAAGGTCTCCAAGAACACAGAGTTTGAGCTCGGAGAATCCTGGGAATTCGGAATGATGGATTTATGGAATGGCTGAGGTTGGGAAAGGCCTCCAAGACCATCAAGGTTTGAGAATCAAGGAATTGTGGGATCAAATCATGGAACTGTGGGATCAAATCATGGAATTGTGGAATGGATGAAGTTGGGAAAGAGCTCCAAGACCATCGAGTTCAAGGTTTGAGAATACTGGAATTGTGGGACCAAGGAATCATGGAATTGTGGAATGGCTGAGGTTGAGAAAGGTCTCCAAGACCATCGAGTTCAAGGTTTGAGAATCAAGGATTTATGGGATCAAGGAATCACAGAATTGTGGAATCAAACCATGGAATTGTGGAATGATTCAGGAAAGGTCTCGGAGACCATCGAGTTTTACCTTTGAGAATCATGGAATGATGGGATCGTGGAGCCAGGGGAATTGTGGAATTGTGGGGTGTTGGGATCACGGAGTTCTGGAATTATGGAATCCTGGGATATTGGGATTCTGGGATCAGGGAGTCATGGAATTATGAGATCATGGAATTGTGGGACCACGAATCCATTAAAGTTGGAAAAGGCTTCAAGATGATCAAATCCAACCTTTGGGAATCCTGGAATGAAGGAATTTTGGGATCGTGGAATTACGGGATGACGGAATCATTGAATCATAAACTATTGGGAAAACGGAATCATGGGAATATTGGAATAAAGAATTTCTGGAACCAGTGGATCATTCAGGCGGGAAAAGTCCTTCAAGACCATTGAGCCCAACCTTTGGGAACCTTGGAATTAAAGAATTCTGGGATCATGAATTTATGGGATAACAGAATCGCTGAGTCATGAGGTATTGGGATAACAGAATCACGGGATCCTGGGAACATGGGGATAATGAAATCCTGGAATCACAGGATCACTCAGGTCGGGAAGGACTTCCAACACCATGGAGCCAAACCTTTGGGATTCCTGCAATTGTGGCATCACGGAATTATGGGAGAATGGAATCACTGAGTCATGAAATACTGGGATAACGGAATCACGGGAACGTTGGGATAATGAATTCCTGGAACCAATGGATCATGCAAGCTGGAAAAGACCTTCAAGGCCATTGAGTCCAGCCTTTGGGAACCTTGGAATTAGGGAATTCTGGGATCAGGAATTTATGGGGCAATGGAATCGCTGAGTCATGAACTATTGGGAAAACAGAATGATGGGAACATGAGGATAATGAAATCCTGGAAGCAGGGGATCGCTCAGGCTGGAAAAGACCCCCAAGATCCCCAACCCTTGGGAATCCCCCGGAGCGCGGGAAGGGCCCGGCCAGGCCCCGGCTGGACGGGGAACTCACCAGAGGATCTGACGCAGATTCCCGGAGAGCCGGGAGGATCCCAGGTTGAGCTCCCGGAGGCTGGGCAGCATTCCCAGCTGCCCGGCCAGGCACCGGATCCCGATGGCCGATTCCGGCGTCGGGCGCCGCACGTCCACGTTGCTGTACTGGAGCTTGAGGCTGCGCAGCTCCGGGAAGCGCGAGAGGTGCGGCAGGATCACCGAGAGCCCGGTCAATCCCAAATTCCGGAAGCGCAGATCCACCCTCCGCACGCAGGAAGGATCCAGGGATTCCAGCAGGCTCACGATCCCGGCCAGGGAGAGCTTTTCTGCTTGGAATTCGCGGCACTTGAGGCGCAGCGGGCCGGCGGCTCCGGTCTGGAGCGCGTCGCGCAGGATCCCGTAGGACGTTCCGTTGACGAACAGGTCGGCGTGGACGTCCACGCCCGGGGGCTGCGGAGCGGCCGCGGCCGTGGCGGCTCCGGAACGGCCTTTGTGCCGCTTGGATCCGCGCCTCTGGAATTCCCGCTGGTGCTTGGAAACCTCCACGCAAGCCTTGGCCAAAGCCACGGTGCCGGACCAGACGCTCATCCCGTCCGGAGCGCGGCCGGCCGGATCGTCCGGAACTCCCGTCACGTCCAGCACGCGCAGGCGGCACCCGCTGGGAAAAACAGGAAGAAACGGTGAAAAAGGGCAGAGGAAATGAAGGAATTAGAAGAGTGGAGGTCGCGGCCATCCCGGAATTCCCAAAACCCACCTGGAATCGCGGTCGGGCTCTTCCAGCTCCCGCCGGAGCTGCGCCACCACGGCCAGGATGACGGCCTGGACGCAGAGCTTGCAGGGATGATCCCGGAGCAGCTCCCGGCGCCCCACCAGCCGCTGGAAGTTGAGCACCGGGAAAGGCCAAGCGGCCACCAAATCCCGCAGGACCAGGGGTCTTCCATCCAGGAATGCCGCTTGGAAAAGGATGGGATAGAGGTGGGCGGGAAGGGCGGGAAGGATGGGAAGTGGGTGGTGGGCCACGATGCGGCGGGCGCAGAGGAAAAGGAGGGAATCCGAATATCCCGGCGGGAGTTGGCGCTTGGGAATGCAGGGTGGGATTTGGGTGGAGGAGCGGCTGCGTGAGGGTGCCATGGTGGAATTCCGGGAATGTTTCCCTAATCCAGGGATTTCCCGCCGGAAATGGAACCTGTGAGAGAAACGGGGTGGGGGAAGGGAGGCAACGCGGGTGTTTGTTGTGGGGGGGGAGTCTGAGTGGAGATTTCCAAAAATTTGGGTCCTGTAGCACCCCCAAAAGAGCCCCGACCTCAGCCAGGGACCCCAAAACCTGCCTAGGGACCCCAGACCATTCCAGGGATCCCCCAGACCTCCCCAAACCAGCTCAGGGATCACAAAACCAGACCAGAGACCCCCAAACCAATCCAGGGATTCACCATAATCACTCCAGAGACCTCCCAAATCCACCCAGGGACCTCCAAACCAGTCCAGGGACCCTAGACCATTCCAGGGATCCCCCAGACCTCCCCAAACCAGCCCAGGGACCCCAAAACCGGTCCAGAGACCCCCAAACTGATCCAGGGACTCCCCTAAATCACTCCAGGGACCTCCCAAATCCACCCAGGGACCTCCAAACCAGTCCAGGGACCCCAAAACCAGTCCAGGGACCCCAAAACCACCTCACACCAATCCAGGAAGTCCTCTAAATCACTCCAGTAACTCCCTAAAGCAGTCCAGGGATCCCCCAAAACCATTCCAGTGACCCCCTAAACCAGTCCAGGGTCCCTCAAGCCAATCCAGGGACCCCAAAATCACCCCAGGGACCTCCCCCCAAAACTCTTCAAGCCCCTCAGGGACACCCCAGAGCAGTCCAGGGACCTCCAAATGAGTCCAGGGACCCCAAAACTCCCCCAAACCAGTCAATGGACACCCCTAAATCACTCCAGGGACCCCCAAACCAGTCCAAGGATGCCTGAAACCAGTTCAGGGACCCCAAAATCACTCTAGGGATTTCCCAAACCCATTCAGTGACCCCAAAATCAGCCCAGAGCCCCTTAAAGCAGTCTGGTGGTCCCTAAAATCAGTCCAGGGATCCCTCAAACCTGCCTGAATGAGTCCAGAGACCCCAAAACTAGTCCAGGGACACCCTGAAACCATCCCAGAGCTCCCTAAACCAGTCTAGGAACCCCAAACCAGTCCAGGGACCCCAAAACAGCCCCAGAGACCCTGAAACTGGTCCAGGGACCTCCAAATCAGTGCAGGAATCCACAAAACCAACCCAGGGACCCCCAAAACAGTCCCGGGACTCCCCAAATCCCCCTAAACCAACCCAGAGACCCCTCCCGCTCCCCCCCAAACCCACCCAAGGGATCCCCCTAAACCAGACCCAGGACTCCCAAAACCCCCCCCCTCCTCCTCAGGGACCCCCCCCCCAAATCAGCCCCTCCTCCCCTGGGGTCCCCCCAGCCCCCCCCAAATCACCTCAGGGACCCCCCTGGCCCCCCAATCCAGCCGGTCCCACCCACGGGGTCCTTCCCATCCTTCCCAATCCAACCCGGGACCCCTCCCCAACCCCCCTAAAGCCACCCAAGGAGCGCCCCCAGCCCCCCGAAACTTCCACAGGCTCCCCCCAATCTCCCGAACCGCCCCAGGGACCCCCCGAACCCCCAAACCGGCCCCGGCGCCCCCCCCAACATGGCGTCCCCCACTCACGGCCTGCCCGCAGCCCCCGCCCGCCCCTGCCCGTACGGAAGCTCCACCTTCGGCTGTACGCGCTGCATTCGCCAATCAGCGAGCGGGATCCACCCTAAGGGCGGGTCCTCGCATTGTTATTGGCTCATGCAGCTGTCTGTCAAAGTTCATTCTAGCTCCTCATTGGCTTTCGATGCGTGGGCGGGCGCTTCGCGGTATTCTGGCACTCATTGGGCGATTTTGCTGTCAATCATGAATCCTTGCCTTCTTATTGGCTAGAGCGCGGCCGGAGCGGGAGGTTCGCTCTGAGGCGGCTTCGGGGTCCCACCCGAGCTTCCCTCGTTTCCCCCGATTCCCCATCCCGGATCCCGGTCCCGATCCCGAGGCCACGGAGCGGCACCGGGATCTGAGGGCGCCGCTGAAGCGCTGGGAAGCGGAATTCCTACGGGAATGGCGGTGGAAACCCAGCCATGTCCTCCCTGAGGGGCCGCGACGGGAATTTATCTCTGAGGGGAAAAAAGGAGAAGTTCTGAGGAGAATCCCTGAGGGGAATTCTCAGGGGTTGGTTGAGGGGGGCTTGGGCAATCCTTGGGGTGGTTTTGAGGGGCTCTGGGATGGTTTTGGGGATCCTGGGACAATGTCTGTGATGGTTTTGGGGGTCCTGGGGCAATGTCTGGGATGTTTTGGGGGTCCTGGGACAATGTCTGGGATGGTTTTGGGTGTCCTGGGGCAATGTCTGGGATGGCTTTGGGGGTCCTGGGGCAATCTCTGGGATGGTTTTGGGTGTCCTGGGGCAATGTCTGGGATGGCTTTGGGGGTCCTGGGGCAATCTCTGGGATGGTTTTGGGTGTCCTGGGGCAATGTCTGGGATGGCTTTGGGGGTCCTGGGGCAATCTCTGGGATGGTTTTGGGTGTCCTGGGGCAATGTCTGGGATGGCTTTGGGGGTCCTGGGGCAATCTCTGGGATGGTTTTGGGTGTCCTGGGGCAATCTCTGGGATGTTTTGGGGCGCTGGACAGGGGGAGGGTCCCTGGGCTGGTTTAGGGGTTCCCTGTGCGATTTTAGGGGAGCTCGGGATGGGCGGGGCCGTTTTGGGGTTTCCCCTATAGATTCCCCTATGGAAACCCCTCACTGACCCTGCTGATCCAGGTAATAAAAACACTCGCGGCTTCTGGGTCGCGACCCCGCCGGGCCCCGCCCTGTCGCGACAACGGCGCGACCCGGAAGTAACGGCACGGGGGATCGGAATGAGCGGGCACCTCCTCGCTTGGTGCGACGGTAAAAACGCTCCGGGCGGAACCAGATCCGCCAGCAGGGAGGACCGGGGAAAGCACGGCCCCAGCGATAGCTTGGGGACATTTGGGAATCCCAAATTCCCCATTCCCATCCCAAATTCCCCATTCCCATCCCAAATTCCCGCTCCAAAGGCACCAGGAACAAGCAGCGCTTTCCATACGGAGCTTTATTCACACGCGAGGGGGGGGCCAGAGCCCCCCCAAATACAGAATTCGGCGGCCCCTGGGGGGGGACCCCAAAATCCAACCCCCCCCCTTTGGGTGGGGGAGGGGTGGGGGAGGAAAATTCCCGAAGGAATTCCCGAGGGAATTCCCGGGATTTGGGAGGAATCCTGGGAAAATCCCGGGGAGGGAGGGGCGGGTCCGTCCCTTTAATTCGGTTTTTTTTTTTTTTCCAGTAGTTTTTTTTTCTTTTTTTTAATAACAATAAATAAAAACCTCGAGGCTTTAAAAAAAAAAAACCCAAACAAACGGGAAAAAAAAAAAACCGCCGGAAAAAAAAAAAGGAGAGGAAATGATTTGAAAATTAATGAACGGGGAATTGATGATTAATTCATTAAAAATTAATTAAGCAGAGGAAGAGGAGGAAAAGAAGGGGTCCCCTGGCAGTGAGCAGAGCTGGGAGGTAGCGCTGGGTTGTCCCCACCACCCCCAGTTTGGGTCCCCCCCCACCCCAATTTGGGGATCCCCCCCAAATTTGGGGTCGGTCCCAACCTTGGGGATCCCTCCATGGGACCCCTCCCACTTTGGGGACCCTTCCAGGACCTTGGGGACACCCCCCCACACCCCAGTTTGGGGTCTCACCTTGGAAACCCCTCCATGGGACCCCCCCCAACTTTGGGGACCCTTCCAGGACCTTGGGGACCTCCCCCACACCCCAATTTGGGGATTCCCCCCCCCACTTTGGGGTCGGTCCCAACCTTGGGGACCCCTCCATGGGACCCCCCCAACTTTGGGATCGCTCCATTTTGGGGAGCCCGTCCCACTTTGGGGACCCTTTCAGGACCTTGGAGACCTCTCCCAATTTGGGGTCGGTCCCAACCTTGGGGACCCCTCCATGGGACTCCCCCAACTTGGAGAACCCTTCCAGGACCTTGGGGACCTCTGGACCTCCCCCACACCCCAATTTGGGGACCACTTCATCCCAATTTGGGGATCCCCCCCCACTTTGGGGTCAGTCCTCACCTTGGGGACCCCTCCATGGGACTCCCCCAACTTGGAGAACCCTTCCAGGACCTTGGGGACCTCTGGACCTCCCCCACACCCCAATTTGGGGACCACTTCATCCCAATTTGGGGATCCCCCCCCACTTTGGGGTCAGTCCTCACCTTGGGTTGGAGAACCCTTCCAGGACCTTGGGGACCTCACCCTTCCAGGACCTTGGGGATCTCTGGACCTCCCCCACACCCCAATTTGGGGACCACTTCATCCCAATTTGGGGATCCCCCCCCACTTTGGGGTCAGTCCCCACCTTGGGAACCCCTCCATGGGACCCCCCCCAACTTTGGGATCTCCCCATTTTGGGGAGCCCCTCCCACTTCGGGGACCCTTCCAGGACCTTGGGGATCTCTGGACCTCCCCCACACCCCAATTTGGGGACCCCCCCACTTTTGGGTCTCACCTTGGGGACCCCTCCATGGGATCCTCCCCCCAACTTTGGGGACCCTTCCAGGACCTTGGGGACCCCCCACACCCCAATTTGGGGTCTCACCTTGGAAACCCCTCCATGGGATCCACTCCCATTTGGGGACCCTTCCAGGACCTTGGGGACCCCCCCCACACCCCAATTTGGGGTCTCACCTTGGAAACCCCTCCATGGGACCCCCCCAACTTTGGGGACCCTTCCAGGACCTTGGGGACTTCCCCACCGTGGGACCCTTCATTTTGAGGACCTCACCCATGGGACCCTCTCCCATTTTGGGGACCCCACCCATGGGACCCCCTCCCCCTCCTTGGGGACCCTCCCAGGATCTTGGGAACCCCACCCATGGGACCCCCTCCCCCTCCTTGGGGACCCTCCCAGGATCTTGGGAACCCCCCATGGGTTCTCCTACTTTGGGATCTCCTCCCACTTTGGGGACCATCCTCATTTTGGGGAACTCCCACCCATGTGACCCCATTTTGGGGACCCCCCACCAAGGAGACCCTCCTGGCCTTGGGGACTTCTCCATTTTGGGGGACCTGGAGGAGATTTGGAGTCACCAAGGTGGGACCTGGGAGGAGATTTGGGGTCATCAAGTTGAGACCTGGAGGAGATTTGGGATCACCAAGGTGGGTCCTGGTGGAGATTTGGGAGCACCAAGGTGGGACCTGGGAGGAGATTTGGGGTCACCAAGGTGGGACCTGAAGGAGATTTGGGGTCACCAAGTTGAGACCTGGAGATCTGGGGTCACCAAGGTGGGACCTGGTGGAGATCTGGGGTCACCAAGGTGGGACATGGAGGAGCTGGTGGAGATTTGGGGTCACCAAGGTGGGACCTGGAGGAGATTTGGGAGCACCAAGGTGGGACCTGGAAGTGATGGGGCGACCGAGGTGGGACCTGGAGATTTGGGGGGCACCAAGGTGGAACCTGATGGACATTGGGGGGCACCAAGGTGGGTCCTGGTGGAGATTTGGGATCACCAAGGTGGAACCTGGTTGAGATTGGGGTCCATCAGGGTGGGACGTGGAGGAGCTGGAGGAGATTTGGGAGCACCAAGGTGGGACCTGGAGGAGATTGGGGGGTGCTGAGGTGGGACCTGGAGCAGGTGACAGTGCCCAGGTGGGTCCTGGAAGATCTGGAGCTTTGTGGGCGCCAAGGTGGGACCTGGAAGTGGTGGGGCCAAGATGGGATCTGGAGGACCTGGTGGAGGTTGGGGGCACCAAAGTGAAACCTGGAGGATCTGAAGAAGATTGAGAAGCACCAAGGTGGGTCTCGGAGAAAGTTGGGGCACCAAGGTGGGACCTGGTGGAGATTTGGGGACACCAAGGTGGGATCTGGAGGATCTGGATGAGGTGGGGGTGCACCAGGATGAGTCCTGGAAGATCTGGGATCACCAAGGTGGGACCTAGAGAAGATTTGGGATCATCAAGGTGAAACTTGGGAGAGATGGGGACACCAAGGTTGGTTGAGGTCACCAAGGTGGGACCTGGTGGAGATTTGGGTGGACCTGGAGGGAGTTGGGGGTGCTCAGGTGGGTCTTGGAGGAGGTTGGGGGGCACCAAGGTGGGTCCAGGAGGAGATCAGGGACACCAAGATGGGTCCTGGAGGACACTGGGGACACTGAGGTGGGCTGGGCAGGACCAGGTGGAGATGGGTGACCAGGTGGGTCCTGGAGGAGATGATGGACACCAGGATGGATCCTGGAGGAGACGGGTACCAAGGTGAGACTTGGAGAACCAGGAAGAGAAGACGGACCCCAGGATGGCTCCAGGAGCTGATGATGGACACTAAGATGGGTTCAGGAGGATAAGGAGGAGATGATGGCCTCCAAGATGGGCCCAGAAGGAGTAGGAGATGTTTGACCCCAAGATCAGTCCAAGGGTTGATGATGGACTCCAAGATGGGCTCAGGAGGACCAGGAGGAGATGTTTGACCCCAAGATCAGTCCAGGAGTTGATGATGGACTCCAAGATGGGCTCAGGAGGACCAGGAGGAGATGCTGGACCCCAAGATGAGTCCTATAGGACCAGAAGGAAATGATGGACCTCAAGATGGGTCCAGGAGTTGATGATGGACACCAAGATTGGCCCAGAAGAAGCAGGAGCAGATTTGAGGTCCTGGGACAGGTCCAACAAGGACCCAGTGGGTGCTGGGACAGGTCCTGGTGACGCCAACATGTGTGGGATGGGATGGACATCATGACATGTGGGGACATCCAGCCCACCCAGCTCCTCCAGGATGGACAATCGGCCACCATGACCCCCTCGGGCCACCTCTCCCATGGGGACCTCTCAGGTCTTTTCCCTGTGGGGGAAAATTGTCACTGTGGTCCCTTGGTGTCCAGGGGAACTTCTCCCACTTTCCCAACCCCTTGGAGACCCCCACAGAGCCAGGATGTTCCTCGTGACTCTCCCAGAGAAGAGCCAGGCAGTGACGCGGCCAGAAGGTTGGGATGGACCTCAAGGACTTCTCTTTGTCTCCACATCTGGGTGGGAAGGGATGGAGACAATTGCTGGATGCCCTCCGTCCATGAGGTCTGGCTGGAGATGGAGCTCACCACCCAGTGAAATTGGAGAACCTCCTTGACATCCCAGTTCTTGGTGGGGATGGAGCTCACCACACAGTGGAGAACCTCACGGACCTCCTGGTTCTTGGTGGAGATGGAGCTCACCACACACTGAAGAACCTCACAAACCTCCTGATTCTTGATGGAGATGGAGCTCACCACGTGATGAAGAACCTCACGGACCTCCCAGTTCTTGATGGAGATGGAGCTCACCACGTGGCGAAGAACCGCATGGGCCTCCTGGTTTTTGGTGGAGACGGAGCTCACCACGTGGTGAAGTTGGAGAACCTCTTGGGCCTCCTGGTTCTTGGTGGAGATAGGTGCCACCACCTGGGGACTTTGACCCTCGGAGGGGACAGGGGGCCGGTGGCGGGGTGGGGACAGCGCAGTGGCGGCCGCTATAGGACGCCCTCCATGAAGCTGGTGTCCAGGTGCTGGATGAGGACACGGATGAAGGACATCTCCTTGCGCGTGTTCTCAAAGATGATCCGCGGGTCGTCTGATTGGCAGCGCAGGCAGTTGGGGGCCATCACCATGGCCAGGTTATTGACGTCCATCTTGGTGATGGCTACGTTGGCTGGCTGCACGAAGACCTAGAGGTGGTGGGAGGAGAAAGGTGGAGGTCAAGGGACTGGTGGGAGGTGGGTGGAAGGACCATGTGGACCTGGTTCTTCACTATGTGGTGACCATGGAGAACCCAAAACCACCTTGAGAGAAGAAACCAGAAGGATCATCCAGGAGGCCATGAACAGCTGGGGTGGGTGGAGGTAATGGGATTGGTGGGAGATGGACGAAAGAACCACATGGACCTCCTAGTTCTTGGAGGGGATGGGAGTCACCATGTGGTGAAGTTGGAGAACCCAAAACCACCTCATGAGAAGGACACAGGAGGTCACCAGGTGCATGAACATCTGGAGTGGATGGAAGGACCTCATGGAACTCCTGGTTCTTGGGGGAGACTGGGGTCACCATGTCCTTGGAGAACCCAAAACCACCTCAGAAGAAACCAAAAGGGTCAACCAGGGGTATGAGCTCATGGAGTGGTAGAAGGGAGACGGAAGTGATGGGATAGGTGGAACTCCTGGTTCTTGGCCACAACATGGTGACCTTGGAGAACCCAAAATCACCTCAGAAGGAACCAGGAAGGTCAACAGGACCATGAATTCATGGGGTGGGAGGAGGAAGATTGAGGTGATGGGATTGGTGGAACTCCTGGTTCTTGGCCAGGTTCTTGGTGACCTTGGAGAACCCAAAACCACCTCAAGAGAAGGAACCAGGCCTGGTGGTCACCTGGTGGGCCAGCAGAAGGTGCTGCTCCTACCTGGAGGAAGCGGATGAGGTAGCACAGCACCATTTTGTTGATCCGGGGCAGGGAGTGGACAACAGCGATGGCGGCCTCGGGGTTCTCGTAGTGGGAGATGCACTGCTCGTAGAACTCGTGGGGGATCAGCGGCTCCTCCAGCTCGCGGTACCAGAGCTTCAGCAGCGACGCTGGAACCGGACACAAAGAAGAGGAGAAGATGTGAGATCTTCTAGATGGAGGTTCTGGCCCACCAAACATCGCCCTGAGGTCCTACCGGGAACGTGCGGGTCCTCCAAGCCGGTGGGGATCTTCCATTGGTCCACCTGCAGCTTGAGTGCGTTGACCTCGTCAATGTCACCAGGGACCCTGTGGGGGGAAGAGGTGTTGGTGGCCGAGTGACCAATGGGGACCTCCCAGCTCAACAGCTTTGGGTGTTTCAGGAGAACCAGGAGGGGACATCAGCTAGGCATGGAGCTGGTGGGTGCCACCAAGAGAAACTGGTGATGGTGACACCGTGAGAAACCTCCATGGCCTTGGAGCCATTTTGGGAGCTTGGTGCCACCAAGACCCCACCATGACTATGGTGGCCACTGTGGAGAAACCCCCATGGAGCAAGGAGAAGTTGGAGGGACACGGGATGGTGCCATCAAGACCCTGTTCTGGGAGCCACCGTAGAGAAACCTCCATGGCCTTGGAGAAAGGAGAAGTTGAAGGAATCCGGTGGATGGTGGCCACTAAGACCTTGCCATGACTGGTGGCCACCATGGCCTTGGAACCGTTTGGGAGCTTGGTGCCACCAAGACCCCACCATGACGGTGGTGGCCACTGTGGAGAAACCGCCACAGTCTTGGACCAAGGAGAAGCTGGAGAGGCCTACTAGATGGTGCCACCAAGACCCTGCCATGACTCTGGTGGCCACCATGTAGAAACCTCCATGGCTTTAGAGGACCCATCAGAGGAGAAGAACACCCAGAAATGTAGATTTGTCCCATTTTGAGACAATTTTTAGGAGAACCTCCAGCTTTGCCACCTCCATGAGATGTCTCCATGACCTTGGGGTGGCTTTACCTGAAGATGCCCTCAGTCTGATCCCCGTTGAGTGCCAGGACCTCCTCGGAGAGCCGGGTCTGGACCCAGGGCAGCTGCCGGTCCGGGTACCGCTCCTTTTGCATGGCCACGATGTCCTGCAGCGAGCTGCCGAACATGGACGGGTTGAAGACGGCATTCTTGGCATGACGGATCTCCTCAATGTTCGGCTTCTTCAGGCCCTGTAGGAGACACCAGAGGTCACCAGTGGCCTCCGTGGTGGCCGGGATGGGATCTACTTAATCCCACCACCCCCCCTGGTTGAGCTTCATAGGGATGGTGATGGAGCCATGGATAGATTCCGTGTAACTCTGTCAAGGTGGTTCCACCGTCCGTCCATCCATCCATCCATCCATCCATCCATCCATCCATCCATCCATCATCTTGATTCAGAAGTGGATCCAGCCGTATAGAGCTTGGTGGGACCATGGCCACGCTGGAGGATCTCTACCGATGGATTTTGCCCGAAGGAGGAGGAGCCATGACTCTGGGATGCTTCTGGAAAGCTCAACATCGGCGCTGGGCTTCCAGAAGGTCTCCAGAAGTTCCTTAGAAAGTTCCCAGGAGGTCTCCAGAGAGTTTGCAGGTCTCCTGAAGATCACCAGATGGTCTCTGGGATGTCTTCAGAATGTTCTGAGAAAATCCCCTCAAGGTCTTCGGAAGGTCTTCAGAAAGTCTCCAGAAGACACTCAGAAGTTCTCCAGATCCTTAAAAGGCTCCCAGAAGATCCCTACAAAATCTTCAGAGAGTTCCCAGAAGGTCTCCAGAAAGTTTCCAGAAGATCTCCTGAAGATCCCCAGATGGTCTATGGAATGTCTTCTGAAGGCCCACAGAAAGTCCTTAAAAAGTTTCCAGAAGGTTCCCAAAAAGTCCCCTAAAGGTCTTCGCAAGGTTCTCAGAAATTCTCCAGAAAATTTCCAGAAGATCTTCAAAAGTCTTCAGAAGGTTCTCAGAAGTGCTCCAGAAGATCCCCAGACAGGTTTTAGGAGGTGCCCAGGAGGTCCTTTCAAGCTTTCCAGAAATTTCCCAGAAGGTTCCCAGAAAGTTCTTGGAAGTTCTCCAGAAGATCCTTAAAAGCTTTCCAGAAGTTCCCTACAAGAAGTTCTCAAGGCATATTCCAGAAGTTCTCCAGAAGGTCCTTAGAAGATTCCCATATGCTCTCCAGGTCTCCAGAAGATCCCCAGTTCTCCAGAAGTTCTCACCACAGCCACCACATGTCACCACCTCCCTCCCTCCCTCCTCCAGCCCCCTCCCCAATCCCAGAAGCTCCTGGATGACCCTGGTGGGAAGTGACCTCCTTGTCCACCCCTTCCCAAGCCCACCCCGTTTTCTGGTACCTTCTTGGCCCCGGTCAGCGCCGCCTTCTGGAGTTTGTTGTAGCAGTACTTGGCATAAGTGCTGATGGCCACCCCTGCAAGAGAAGACATGCTGGGTGGTGGGATGTCACCCCCAGGACCTGGAAGAGGTCCTGTCCCTTTCCCATGGTGCTGCTCCATCTCCATCCCTGTCACCACTCCCAAGGGGTTTGAGGAGGACAAGGTTCCCCTCAAACCTCATAAGAACCCTGGAGGAACCATCAAACGTGGAGCTCTGGAGCTCTGTGGTGGCCTCATCTTGGGTGGTTTTTAGGGGCCACCACTGCCATGGTCACCACTCCCATCCCATCTGTCTTCTCCAGATCCCACCACTTCTATCTTCATCCTCGTCCTGATGTCCTTCAGTGAGGAGCCTATCCCAACAACCCTGCAGACTTGATGGGACCTTCTGGATCATTCCAGAAGATGCCTTGGGGACCTGGTGGAACCTTCTGGATCATCCCTGGGGATCGAGTGACACCTGCTGGCCCATCCCAACATCCCTGGGGACCTGATGGAACCTTCTGGATCATCCTAGAAGAAACTCTGGGACCTGGTGGGACCTTTTGGACCATTCTAACTACCCTGGGGACCTGGTGGAACCTTCTGGATCATTCCCAGGGAAGCCCTGGGGACCTAGTGGAACCTTCTGGATCATTGCCAGGGAAGCCCTGGGGACCTGGTGGATCTGGATCATTCAACACCAGGTGGCCTCAAATCATGGAATCATGGAACGATGGAATGGTTGGGGTGGGAAAGGACCTTTGAGGACCATCTCATCCAAATCCCTGTCAGGAGACTGGGCTGGATTTTGGGATGCAGCCCAGGAGAAGAAGGATCAACGACCTCCAGAAGTGCCCGGGGTTTCATGGGATCTGATGGGATCCGATGGGATCCAATCCCAATTTTTGAAGGACCAGCCCCACCAAGAGCTCCTGGAGGTTCCCAAAGCCCATCCTTGGTGTCTCCTGGAGGTTCCCAAAGCCCATCCTTGGTGTCTCCTGGAGGTTCCCAAAGCCCATCCTTGATGTCTCCTGGAGGTTCCTCCTGGTGGATCCATCCAGGATCGGCTCCCAGG